AGCAAGGTATACGAGGTCGGTGGTTCAAACCCACCAGCTGCTCCTCGGAAACCCTATAGGGATTGCTATAAGTCGGTACTGACTTGACAGTACTTTACAACAACAGCAAGTTCCATATGTATGATACATGTTGTTGAAAAAAGATATTTGAAATGAGTAAGTTGTTGGTCTTGCAAAGTTCTATCATGTGAACCCTGTAGTCATTTATATTACCAAGGTCATACTTTCCAAGTAATGGCCGTTCTTTATTTCCACCTTTCACATTCCAATCACATGTAATTATCAATGCATCTTTATTACACTGTTGATCAATTTTAGACTGCAGAAGTTTGTAAAAATCTCCAGCTTCTTTATCTTTGACATTAGTTGTTGGTGGGTAAATTTGAATAACAGTCATATGAACTGCTCTTTCTTGTAGGCCAGGGGTGGGGAAACTTTTTTCTGCCAAAATTTATAACATTATTCACAGACCACACAAAATTATCAACTTAAAAATTAGCCTGCTAAACTTTTGGCAAACATTTAATTAACTCATTCTAATGTGATGTCCTGGTGTGGCACTTTGGGTAAATGCACTGGACTGCAAAGTCAGTTGGAACAGCAAAGTCAGCAGTTCAAGATTACCAGCTGCTCCTGGACAACCTATGCAGGGTAGCTATGGGTCAGAACCAACTTGATGGCACTTAACAACAACAACAACAACAATGTGATGGCTGGAGTCCTGGACTGCAAAGTTGGCTTGAACTATAAGGTTTGTGGTTCAAATCCACCAGCTGCTCCTTGAAAACCCTACTCAGGGTTGCTATGAGTTGAAACCAACTTGATGGCACTTAACAACAACAAAATGTGATTGCTGGAACTGCGGTTGCCTTGGCAGGACCAGGCCAAATGATTTCATGGGCCTTCCCAAATAATTTGTGGGCCTCATATGGCTCACGGCCAGATATTCCCCATCCCTGCTGTAGGCTTATGGATATTATCCTAGGATAGATCTTGAAATGCACTTTTTGACAATGAATGTGACATGATTCCTCTTCAATTTGTGATTTCTGGCATAGTAAACTATATGATTTTCTGATTCAAAATGACCAATACCAGTCTATTTTAGGTTACTAATGCCTAAGATATCAATCTTCAAGTGTTTCATTTAATTTTTGATGACGTTCAATTTTCCTATATTGTACTTTATACATTCTATGGTCTAATTATTAATGAGTGTTTACAGCTTTTTTTTTCTTTCCTCACTTTGAGTTGTGCTACATCAGCAAACAAAGATCCTGAAAACTTTACTCCATCCATGTTATTCAGATCAACTCTACTTGAAGAGGCAGCTCTTCCCCACATATATTTTGAGTGCTTTCCAACTTGAGGGGCTCATCTTCCAACACTATATCAGACAGCGTTCCACTGCTCTTCAAAAGGGCTCTCACTGGCCAATCTGTTTAGAAGTAGATCACTAGGCCTTTTTCCTAGTCTGTCTTCGTTTGGAAGCCCTGATAAAATCAATCCCCCAGGGGTGACCCTGCTGGTATTTGGTATACTGGTGGCATAGATTCCAGGATCTCAGCAACAAGCAAGCCACCACAGTATGACAAGTGGACAGACAAGTATTGGAGAGCCACAATGACTATTCCCCAAAGAGGCACCAATAGTAGATGATGGGAACATGAGTTTCTAATGTGACACAAGACACTGATAAAATCTAGGGGGAATGTTTTGCTGTTTTCAAACTTGCACAGAATTATTTTCTCTTTCCTAATTGCATCACTTTATGGGGAGTATAAAAGATTTTAGATCACTCTACTAGTAGAGGATTACTCAGCAATTTATTGTAGACAAACTCTTTTTCTCTAAGACCTAAAAACTAAAAACTGAAATACTTGAACTCAATTTTTCTAGTAATACAGAACATAGTAAGTGAGGAACAGGAAGAAAACATAATTCTTTACATTTATTTCATCTTTTAAAATACCAATTTTATATGATGAAAATATTTATATATTTTATCAAGAAATAGTTTTAAAGATATATATATATATATATATGGAGTACTTGCTCAAAAGCTTGTTTTTGTTTTTTTACTAATAAGGATGTGTGATCAAAACGTTTGTAGCCATTGCTTTGTTATTGTTGTTAAGTATCTTCAAGTCGGTTACAGTCCATAACAATCCTACATAGGGTTTCAGAAGAGTGACTGGTGAGTTTGAACCACTGAACTAGTAGTGAGCAGTCCAGTGCTTATTCTACAGTGCCATACTAGGATTCCTGTTGTTAAGTGCCATCAAGTCGGTTCCAACCCATAGTGACCTTGTATAGGGTTTCTGGGGAGCAGCTGGTTTCTGGGGAGCAGCTGGTGAGCTTGAACCACGGATCTTGTGGTTCAAACTGACTTTGTAGTCCAGCACATTAACCTGTAATGCCACACCAGGTCTCCTAGGTCCTTGTTATTCACAGTGTGGTCTTTGGTCTAGCAGCAAAAGCATCACTTGGGAACTTCTGAGAAATGCAGTCTCAGGCCCCACCCAGACCTGTTGAATATGAATCAAGATTAATGGTGTGATGTTGTAGAATATAAATTGGAACAGACTCAATCATACTTAAAAAGAATTGGTGCACATTTACATTAGAAAAGCAATGTTCCATAATAAAGTACACATAGCTAACTCTTGATCTCTATGGTTTATACTGTGGCAAATTTTTCCTCTTGGGATTGTTTTCCACCCAACAGTCCTTTGTCAACTTACTCTTATTGCTGTGTAGAGGGAACCACAGACATTACATGCCTCAGTAGAAGAGGCGATCTCCAGGGTTCTCTGGTCACAGTATCTTACTTAAGTACTTCCTTAAGTTAGGTTCTAAACTATTGGAATTAAGTTAATACCAAATTCTTCTCAGCTGTGTATAAAGCTAAATTCTTTCCATATGTTACTTTTTCTTTTTGTAAACTATAATTGCAATGTGCTTCTAAGTCAAATATATTTTTGGGTTCCCTTTTTTTGTGGTTCTTCTTTATTCATTCACCTAAGAACCTTTCAGGATTTAAATTTGTTACTTAAGGTGAATATTGCTTTGTTCTTATGGAGTGATAATCAAGTCATCAAGTTCTTGATGGCTAAGTGACTGCACAGAGAAATAGAATGACTGTCAAACTTAAAAACTGTTCTTTCAGGAGATTTTACAAAATGTCTTGTCTTTTAAAATAAGTACTAGAGTTTTGGAAATCAGTGTCTTTTTTAGGTACATCAGAAATATTATTTTCCTTTGTTTTGCTTGGGAGAAGAGTGGAGAGAAATATTTAATCAAAGATATACAAAAATAGTCTTTTCCTTCATTAATTTTTTTAGCTGACATTGATTGAGTTCAAACACTGTTACATGTATTTTGCTAGGTTAAGAACATGGATAAGGAAGCCTGCCCTCGAGAAACTTTAAATCTAAGTGACCACAACATATATAGGTATTGTTAAGTGCCATTGAGTCAGTACCAACTCACAGCCACCCAGTATAGGGTTTCTGAGACGGTATTTCTTTGCAGGTGCAGAAAGCCTCATCTTTCTCCTGTGGAGCAGCTGGTGGGCTCAAATCAGTGACTTTGTGGTTATCAGTCCAGTGCTTGTCCTACAGAGCCACTATGCTTCATGTGTAGGTGGTGTTGTAGTTAAGTGCTATTGAGTTGGTTCTAACTCATGGCGACCCTCTATAGTTTCCAAGGAGTGACTGATGGGTTTGAACTGCCAACCTTGTGGTTAGTAGTCCAGTGCTTATCCTACAGCCCTACCAGGACCCTATGTATGTTGTTGTTAAGTGCTGTAGAGTTGATTCCGACTCATAGCAACCCTATATAGGGTTTCTGAGGAGCAGTTGGTGGGTTTGAACTACCAGCCTTGCAGTTACCGACTTTGTGGTCCAGTGCTTATCTTACAGCACCACTCCAGGACTCCAACTCTGTGTACAGTTGTATATGAACATATATTCAAGTCTCAAATTAAGTGACCAATTCGGGAATAATTTATAACTAGAGATTTGGATTCTCCAAAGTATCATGTTATTTGGATAGTTGAAAGAGTTGCTAGCTTTTCTGTGGATTCCTCTGATTTTTCATCCTCCTAAGGAAATCTCTTCTCGTACATGAAAAACTGTTATGCTGCCACCGTTTTGAATGCCTGCATTTTCCCTGTAATGGTATTCATAGCAATCTTATGAAAACCTGTCCATCAAGACTCAGTTGTATTCCCCTTCAAGAGAGGCTCTCCTCTAATTGTTGTTGTTGTTATGTACCATCGAGTCGGTTCCGACCCATAGCGACCCTGTACAGGGTTTCTGAGGCTGTAAATTTTTACGGGAGCAGAAAGCCTCCTCTTTCTCCTGCAGATTATCAGTTCTTAATTGTTGTTGTTAAGTGCTGTCAAGTTGGTTTGGACTTATAGCGACCCTGTCTAGGATTCCCAAGGAGCTGCTGGTGGTGTGAACCACAGACCTTGCTGTCCGCAGTCCAGTTCTTATCCTACAGTGCCACACCAGGACAGGAGATACATGACAGTGCTGCTGAACGTGTGAACTGAGTGAGGATTTGTTCACAAGTATTCCTTGGATGAGATGTGTTCAGCATTTGCTATGTGATTTTGGTGCATTTAATAACCTATCCAAGCTTCTGTCTCCTCCATTTTACTACAGAACGTTTACTATGAGGATTCAATGTGAGTATGTGTATATTTTACATGAGGGGTCTTCAAGAAGTTTGTAGAAAAATGGAATGAAAAGATAGTGGAATTTTTCCATGAACTTTTTGAAGTCCCCTTGTGCATACACACACACCTGTTCATACACATGTATATAGGTAGCATAACAAACACTACAGAAACATTTTTCTAAAATTGAGTAGGAGAGAAAAAGCTACCATGCATTAGACTTCAAATAGCATTTCTGAGCTCTGTGTATGTGACAAAGTCCAAGTTATACTGCTTCAATTAAAACGAGTGATTTCTATTGTATTCTATCTAGGAAGAGCATGTTCTTTTCCAACTTGAAGAAGGAATTGAAGCTTTGGAAGCTGCGATTGAATACAAGAATGAAAGTATCCAGAGTCGCCAGAACTCCCTCAGAGCTTCATTCCAAAACCTCTCTCGCAGTGAAGCAAATGTCTTGGAAAAACTAATTTGCCTGAATCCTGTTGAGATTAGAGCTATTCTTTTCAGATATTTCAATAAGGTTTGTTTTGGAGGGAGAGGATATTTACTTATAAAGACAGATCATGATGTTTTACATCCCACGTTTTGAATTTTTATCAAGATTGGATTGTATAACTACAAATTTAGGCATAAATTTTCTTCACAGCACTGAATACTGTCATTGGAAAGCTTTGGGGTATGCAGTCCCAACTTAGGGACATTTTATCTTTTTTTATATGATATTTTAGTTGTGTTTTTGGTGAAGGTTCATACAGTAGTTTAGTTTCCCACTCAGCAGTTTCTACCCAAACTGTTTAGTGACTTTGGTTAAATACTAATCTTTACAATTTGTGAACATTCTCATTATTTCTTTCTGGTTGTTCCATTTCCACTATTCTAGTTTTTGTGGGGTTCTTTAAGATTGGGGGGGGGGGCTTTCAAAAGAAAGACTTTTTGAAATATTTTTTTAAACCAAAGAATTTAAGTTATATTTCTGGGTCACTATTTCTAGGTATTTTCTTGATTTGGATGTTGCTAGTTAGCATTCAGAAAAATGAAAGGCCCTCCAGGTTTTGGCTCCCCTCCCTTCATTGCTAGATAGGAGTGAATGCAGGGTGGAAGTGACAATAGCCACTGATAATCATATACTGTTGCTAATGATGACGTCTTTTCACTGGTTCTTTGAAGGGCAGAAAATATTGGAGTACTGTAACATTACTCTTAGTGGTGTTTTTTAAAGCAAGGGGTCTTAACCCAAAAAGGCACACATGCAGGTCAACCTCAATGGATTCTCTGAGCCCAAAGAATCCCTTGTAGAAACTAGTATATATATATTTCGATAAAAAGTCATTAGGTTATTAATGAGGTCTGTAAGACAAGGCATTACCTGAAGTATTTTCACTTCATACCAGTGCATTGAAGACCCCAATGAACTAAATGTATGGTCTGAAATTGAATTCTATTTATTGCTAGAGAATATTCTGTCACTAATTTATAATGTCCATTTTAGAGTTAAAAGTAGGAATTATGTAGATGTTACAATAGTCCTTAGTTTCTCATTTTCTCCTTAGAGTACAGAAATAGTTTTAGAAATGTAAAATGTAGTCTAGAGATCATGTCTAAGAAATGATGGAGGGGAAGTTATTAGAACAACATTATGTTTAAAACAACTTTTTACCAATTCAGAATCCCAAGAAATTTAAAAGATGGTTTGCAGACATTACTGATACCATGGTGATTGAATGTGTTGGTAGTTTTGTGCAAGCCATCTATTATATTAGGCTATCTATGGTATATTTTTAAGGTGCTCTGGTAGCGTAGTGGTTACGAATCGGGCTGCTATCCTCAGGGTTAGCAGTTAGAAGCTACCAGCTGTTCCGTGGGAGAAAGAGGAGGCTTTCTGCTCCCGTAAATATCTACAGCCTCGGAAACACTGTATAGGGTCGCTATGAGTCAGAACCGACTCCACGGCACATAACAACAACAACAACATGGTATATTTTTTAAGGGTAAAAATGTATTTGCTAGGTGGTTAATTTGAGAGAAGCTGAACGGAAACTACAGTTAGAGAATGAAGAAATGAAAATGAAGACTCTGGAACAAGATAATGTTGTTCGTGAGTTGGAATCTGCACTGGAACATCTGAAATTACAGTGTGACCGGAGACTGACCCTCCAGCAAAAGGAGCATGAGCAAAAGATGCAGTTGCTATTATGTCACTTTAAAGGTAACTCCCATTTTTTGTCAGTTACATAACGGTGATGTGTTGGGGCACAGAGGAAGGAAGACAGGACAGAATTTGATTGCAATGTGTAGCCATACTTACCACTTATTCCTTTTGCTTTGTATTTTGTCTATACAGGACATATTCATGCTCCACATGCCACCCTGTCTGCTTGTCCCCAATACACACTTAGAAACTGCAACAATCCTGAGAGTTTCTGTTCGTGCCTTATTTTTTTACATGGGAACATGGGGTTGTTTTTCCGGCTTTTCAGTGTCCAGTTGAAATTTTCCTAGGGATATATTGTTGTGTGCCAGTGCTTCTCTTACAGTGCCACATCTGGGGATATTGTTGTTGTTATGTGCCGTGGAGTCGTTGTTGTTAAGTGCCATCAAACCAGTTCTGACTCATAGAGACCCTGTTTAGGGTTTCCAGGAGCAGGTGGTGGGTTTGAACTGCTAACCATGCAGTTAGCAGTCCAGTGCTTATCCTACAGTGCCACACCTAGGGATATTGTTGTTGTTGTTGTTAAGTGCAATCAAATTGATTCTGACTCATAGAGACCCTGTATAGGGTTTCCAGGAGCAGGTGGTGGGTTTGAACTGCCAACCATGCAGTTAGAAGTCCAGTGCTGATCCTATAGTGCCACACCAGGGATAGATGTATATATTGGGTACGGTTGTGGTTGTGAGCTGTGAAGTCAGTTCCAACTCAGCAACCCTCTGTAGATTTTCTGAGGCTGTGAATCTTTACAGGAGCAGAAAGTCTCACCTTTCTCTGGAAGAGAGGAATATAGTACTGCAGTATTTAAATTATGTTCCATTCATAATTTAAATTAAATTGTGTGTTTGCTTTGTCAGAGCCCAATATCATTGTTCTTGTTATAATTTTTAGATGGCTATAAATTTTATGCATAAAGTGATCTTAGGTCAAAATTTGTCCACTGTTAGCTGGACACCTACTGTCATTAGTACACAGTGGGTAAACCGTCAGCTCTGATGCCAAAAGATGGCTGTTTCAATTATCAGTCATCACGTTACCTGGGCACATGGCCAGTGTAGGTACAGTTGCCAAGGCAACAACATCACTACTAGGTGATACTGTTAATACTTCAATCCAGTTTGCTTAGTATCTGTTCTAACGAAATTTACAGCTGGATCTAATGAATTTATAGAAAGGGATCTGAAAAAAGCAACATGAGTAAGCAGAAAATTGGGAAGTCTATGAAATTTGCATATTGAGGCAATTAACTTCTAAGTTCATTCTGTAACCAGTTATCAACAGTCAATTGCTTAATGACAGGATTTCCTTGACAAGTTTCTACGCTACATCACATGCTCTATTTCTGCTTTAAGTCTACAAAGGTGGCATTGTAATTGAATTTTTATGTATTTTAAAAGTGACTGGCATTGTCCTACAAGAGTTCATGCCGTAGTTAAATGAGAGCGTGTTTTAAAAGCATTCATTTTTTATAGCTATACAGGTTTTTCATAAACATTGCTGTAGCAGAAAATATTAATAATTTATGAATTTTCATATTTCAATGGGATGTGAAGTGTCCTGGTGTGGCACTGTGGGTTAATGCGCTGTACTCCAAAGTTGGTTTGAAACCATAAGGTCAACAGTTCGAACTCACCAATCGTTCCTTGGAAATCCTGTACAGGATCACTATGGGTTGGAACCAACTCGATGACACTTAACAACGACAACAGCAATGGGATGTGAGAGATATAATTAAGTTGATTTATATAATATGTTTTATGGGGATCCTAACTTTTATGTCATTAATTTTAAGTATTCTTTTGAAACAAGATGACAAATTAATTTAAAATATACAGATATTCATATACATAAAATTTTACAAAACATTTTGTTATAACCAGTAGTTATAACACTGTACAAATCAGTAGTACCATTTTATAAATATGCCAATAGGAGAGTGCTATTCTGAAAGTATATTTATTCTGGTGGTGGTGGTTATGTGCTACGAAGTTGGTTCTGACTCACAGCGACCCTGTATAGGGTTTCTGAGGCTGTAAATCTTTATCGGAGCAGAACGCCAGCCTCATCTTTCTCCCGTGGAGCTGCTAGTAGTTTTGAGCTGCTGACCGTGAGATTACGCAGCCCAACTCGTAACCACTTTGCTATTCTATAGGTCAGTAAATTGGTTCTAGAAAATAACCCAATGGAGACAGTTTTATACATTCATAATAATTAGAATCATGAACTTACATTATGGCATAAACAAGAAATTTATTTATGGTTCCCTATGTTCCCTCTTTTCCTTTAATTTGCTTTGATTTCATTTATAATTTAATCATTTTAGCCTCTTTTTTTTTATAAAATTATATTTTGTTGTTGTCAAGAATATAGACAGAAAAACATTCACCAATTCAACAGTTTCTAAATGTATAATTTTGTGGCACTGATTACATTTTTCAACTATTCATTCTCCTTTTCTGACTTGTTCCTCTCTCATTAACATAACCACCATTCATCTGTCAGTTTGTCATACTGTGATGACTTGCGTATTGCTGTGGGGAAGGAAGCTATTCCACTAGTATTTTAAATACCAGCAGGCTCACCTATGGTGAACAGGTTTCAGTGGAGCGTCCAGACTAAGACACACTAGGAGGAAAGAAAGGCAGATGATTTCTGACTGTTTGAAAATCTTACAAACATTCAGAAGTAGCAGTGGAACAATGTCAGATACAGTGCGAGAAGGTGAAAATATTATGACTAGCGGCAGACCACTATTAGATATAATGACAAAAGATGAGCTTTTCAGGTTGTGGGATGACATCCAGAACATCATACAAGAAGAAAGCAAAATATCATTAAAAAGATAAATAAAGAAAAAAACAAAATGGATATTATAAGAAACTCTGAAACTTGCTCATGAATGTAGAGAAGCTAAACCGACTGGAAGATGTGATGAAGTTAGAGAGCTGAACAAAAAGTTTCAAAGGGCAACTTGAGAAGACAAAGTCAAGTATTATAATGAAATGTGCAAAGACCTGGAATTAGAACACCAAAAAGGAAGATCATGCTCAGCATTTCTCAAGCTGAGAAAAACTGAAAAATTCAAGCCTCAGACTGCAATACTGAAGAATTCTATGAAATACTGAAAGATGCAGAAAGCATCAAAATAAGATGCTTTCGTGTGTCTGAACCAAGCTGTGGTATTTTCAATAGATTCAAATGCATATGAAAGGTGAACACAGAATCAATGCATTTGAATTTTGGTGTTTGAGAAGAATATTCAAAGTTCCATGTACTGACAGAAGAACAAATGAATCTGTTCTTAGGAGCCAGAACATTCCGTAGAAGCCAGGATGGCCACACTTAGTCCCTCGTACTTTGGACATGTTATTAGGAGGGACCAATCCATGGAGAAGGACATCATACTTGGTAAAGTAGAGGTTCAGCGATAAAGGGGAAGACTCCCAATGAGATGGATTGGTACAATGGCAGTAGCAATGGGTTCAAGTGTAACAGTTGTGAGGATGGTGCAGCCTTGGGCAGTGTTTCAGTATCTCTATGAGTTGGAACCTACTCGACAGCACCGAACAACAACTACAGCATTAACATAAACCCACTGCCTGTTAAGGTTCCTATGTAATCTTTGTTTTCAGTTTGATCCCATATATATAGTTTTTGGAGTCCCGGTGTGGCACCATAGGGTAAGCACTTGACCTCAAGGTTGGTTTGAACTACAAGGTCAGCAGTCCAAACTCACCAGCAGCTCCTTGGAAACCATATACAGGGTCACTATAAGTCGGAACTGACTCAACGTCACCTAACAACAAAAACATAAGTTTTTTAAAAGAGCATAATGCTCAAGGCAGACCTTTTTTTACTAGTTGAGCTAAACTATATTTGGTTGTAAGATGACTTCAAAGGATATTTTTGGTTTAAGGTTTAAAAATTATCTCAGGAGAGTATTTTCAGGTGTTCATTCTGCTTCCATGGCTTCAGAAGATTTAAGAGTACTTGAGCATTTGAGGTTCTGTTCTTCTACGGAATATTTCCTCAAAATGGTCAGTAGTGGAAGCTGGGCACCATCCAGTTCTTCTGGTCACATGACAAAGGAGGTAGTTGTTCATGGAGGCAATTATTCACACAGTCCATATCTTCCTCCTATTCCTGACTCTCCTTCTTCCTCTGTTTCTCCAGGTGAATAGAAATCAATTATTGTACCTTGGATGGTCATTTGTAAACTTTGAGGCCCCCAGCACTATACAGTGAACTATGAACTAGGTGGTAGAACAGAAGCTCTAAATACCTTATTAGGCCAATGAACTAGGATGTCCCAGGAAACCATGTCTTTAAATCTGGTGTTTGGTTGTACCTATATAGCCTTGGCAGCTAGTCTGTTCTTTCTTTGTTCATTTTAAATATATCTATCACACAACTTTGGTCACTTCAACTTTTTATAGGTGTACAATGGATTGGCAGTCATTATAATAATCAGCCTGTGCAAACCTATACTTAATCAACACGACTTTTTCGTCACCATTAATTAACCTCCCCCTCCTCCCTCTTGCCCTTGCTAACCACTAATAAACTTTGATCTTTATAAATTTGCCTTTTCTTGTCTTTTTATGTAAGTCAGGTTATACAATATTTTTCTTTAGTGATTGGCTTATTTTGCTCAGCATTGTCTTAAAACTCCATCCACACTGTGCATGTATTAAGGCATCATTTCTCCTACTGGAGTAGTATTCCATTATATGTGTATATCACATTTTGTTTATCTGCTGAAGGGCATTTAAGTTGTTTCCACCTTTGGCTACAGTGAATAGTGCTGCAGAAACATTGGTGAATTTCTTGCCTGTTTTTGTTCGTATGTTTATGTGTCTGTTTTGAGCTATGTATTTATTGAGTCCTGGTGTAGCACTGTGGGTTAATGCACTGTACTGCAAGGTCAATTTGAACAGCAAAGTCTACTGTTCACTCTCACCAGCTGCTCCTCAGAAACCCTATACAGGGTCACTGTGAGTTGAAACTGACTTGATGGCACTTAACAATATATCCTAGACTTATAATTTTTCATATAGTCACAGTTCATAATAAAAATGAAGCAGCTGGACAGATTTCCAAATATGTGAATTTTTTATAGGCAACTCCTTACTTCTGCTCTCCTATGATAAACCTACTTATTGGCCACTGCAAAAAGTACTTCTGAATCAAGAAAATATGGTGCTTCTTAGGGGATAAGGTGGAGAAAGAGACAAAGCTCTCAAACTTTGAAAAATTTCATAGGCAGAAGATTCCAAATTGTAGCTACCAGCAAATCCATTCAAGTAATAGATAAATGTTAACATACTTATGACCTTTTGAAAATAGTTTGGATGCCATGTTAGAGCATAGTTTTGGGTCATTTATTTAAGTTATTTTAAATGTCAATTTCTGTTTTATAGAGTCAAATGGGGAAGGCATTGTGGAAACTTTAAAAACCTATGAAGATAAAACCCAGCAGCTGGAAAAAGATCTTTATTTCTATAAGAAAACCAGCAGGGACCTTAAGAAGAAACTAAAGGAACTGTTGGGGGAAGCAATTCAGCGGCAACCGGCACCATCAGAACGTAAGACATGGAGTGTTGTTCGTCATGCTGACTCTTTCCGTAGGATAAGGGGAAGTCATGCCTGATGATAGTGTGGTTTTTCCCAATTGATTGGGTTATTTTTGTTATTATTGCTGTTGGTAAGTGCCATCGAGTCGGTTCTGACTCACAGCAACCCTAGTTAGGGTTTCTGAGGAGTGGCTGGTTTGAACCACTAACCTGGTGCTTAGCAGTTCAGTGCTTATCCTACAGTATCACCAGGACTCCTGAGTTGCTTCATACTAGTTATTTAGTTTCTAATTTGTCTTAGGTTCCTTCTCTGTAAACAAAAATAGTTGCCTAGTATAGCATCCCCTCAGTGGCACACATGGTTAAGCACTTGATTATTAACTGAAATGTCGGTGGTTGGAATCCATGCAGAGGTACCTTGGAAGAAAGACCTTGTAATCTATTTCTAAAAAGTCACAGCCATTGGAAATACTATGCGTACTTCCACTCCTAAGCACATGGAGTCCATGCGAGTCAGAACTGACTGAAAGGAAAATGGTTATTGGCATGTGGCTCAGTGGTTAAGCACTCAACTGCTAACCAAATGGTCAGTGGTTGGAAGCCACCTGCCACTCAGTGGGAAAAAGATTTATAGCTTTGGAAACCCTGTGGGACAGTTTTACCCTGTCCTATAGCATCGCTATGAGTCAGAATTGATTCAACAGCAATGGATTGTTTTTAAAATGTCGATGTAGATATGACAAAACCAGAGTCCTGGTGTGGATAAGCACTGGACCACACAAGGGCAATTTAAACCGTAAGGTCAGTGGTGCAAATCTACCAGCTGCTCCTCATAAACCCTGTAAGAGTTGCTATTAGTCAGAACCAACTCAATGGCACTTAACAACAGCAACATGACAAGTGAATGAATGAGCAAACGTTTAAGTGCAAAGGGTACAATAATTAATAACCTTTAGAAAATGTTTCTAGTTTTCTATTTTATGGTAAATTAAGCCTTCAGATTCTCACAACAAAAGCAGTAAAATAAGTAGCAGAATAAAATAATATTATATGTACTACGGGGAGTCAAAGGAGCTCTGGTAGCGTAGTGGTTACGAATTGGGCTGCTAATCTCATGGTTAGCAGTTCGAAACTTACCAGATGTTCTATGGGAGAAAGATGAGGCTTTCCTTCCTGTAAAGATTTACAGCCTTGGAAACCCTGTACAGGGTTGTTATGTGCTGTGGAGTCAGAACCGACTCCACAGCACATAACAACCACCCAACAACAAGGGGGGTTCAAAAACTTCATGGAAAAATAGAATGAAAAGATAATGGACATTTTAAACAAACTCTTTGAAGATGCCTTACATTTCTAATATAATTTTTCATTTCATGACCATTTGATATTCAAAATTATAATAAAGTACATTGTTGAGACAAAGATGTTTCCTTACATAATTATATGTAGATATGTAGAAGTAGAAAGTCCTGGTGTGGCACTGTTTTTTGTTTGTTTGTTTCCTTCTTTCTTTAAGGTTTTTATTGTGGATTGAGTGAAAATTTACAAGGCAGATCATCAGTTTTACATTCAGCATATCATATACCTTGTTTTATTACTATGATTATAATCCCCTCCATGTACCATTGGTTAACAGTATTTCTCTCTATTCACTTTAGCTTTTTTTAAAAACAAAACACTCAGGTATATATAATAATTTAAACCTCCAAAGGGCCCATTCTGCAAGTCTGCCTCCTGGCCACCACCTCAGTCCCATGAAACTATAGAGTTCTCAGCTGTTCCCCCCTTTCTGCCCCCATCTCTACCTCCGTCTCTGGCATCTCTGCTTCACTGGATAAGGTCCCACACTCTGCTTGTGTTCTTCTCCCTTGATGGTCCTAGGGACCTCTGTTTCTGGACTATAAGATTAACCATTTCCCTATTTTTATTACAAAACTTCTACCTTTACAATTGTGACAGTTGCAAGTAGTCGTGATAACAATTATTCACTATTGAATCATACAAATCTTATCTCCATCTCTTTTCACTGTGGCACTGTTTTGAATAAGCACTGGACTACTAACCACAGGTCACTGGTTCAAACCCACCAGCCCCTTCTCAGAAACCCTGTATAAGGTCACTAAGAGTCAGAACCCACTCGATGGCACTTAAAACAACATGTGGAAGTAGAGAGTCCTGGTGTGGTGCTGTAGGATAAGCACTGGAATGCTACCCACAAGTTCAGCAGTTCAAACCCACTAGCTGCTCCTTGTTGTTGTTGTTGTTATGTGCTGTGGAGTCGATTCTGACTCATAGTGACCCTGTACAGTGTTTCCAAGGCTGTAAATCTTTATAGGAGCAGAAAGCCTCATCTTTCTCCCGTGGAACAGCTGCTAGTTTCGAACTGCTGACCCTGAGGCTCGCAGCCTGATTCGTAACCACTACGCTACCAGAGCTTCTTGGCAACCCTATATAGGGTCGCTATGAGTTGGAACTAACTCAATGGCACTTAACAACAACAACATATAGAAGTAGAACCTACTTAGATGAAACAATAAAACAGAACAGAACACTACAAAATGAGAAAATGAAAATAATATATTGCTATATTTAAAATATACCCTCTTTAAGATAGTCAAATAGAGAAATAATGTAGTCTACATGTTATTAAACAACCTTGAAGGTTGAAGAGAGTATTCGTCTAGTAATTTAAATATTGTTTATTTCTATAACTTTTTAGGGATAGACCTATTCTGTATCTGTAAAGAAATCTGCTTGAAGATGGGTACAGAAGATGTAAAGAGACCACTGAAAATCAGATATATACTCAGTAAAGATATAATCTGAATACATACTCTGAGTACAATTAACATAGTATTAAAATTTTAAACTCAAGAGATATTTTCAAGAAGCGTTCTACTACAACCTTATAATTGTGATATTTATAATTTATGTTTTTTATAAATATTTAATTTGACTTTCAAAGTTAGGGTAGGCTGGGGTCTGCTGTCGTCATTTTCAGATGCAGGAAATGAAACAGATAGGTTAAGCGAGTCACAACCAGAAAAGTAATTAGAATATATTTAAGGTTGCTCATCTACTAACTCCTGGTCAGGTATTTTAAGATAACAGTTGTCTTAGGATAGAGATGTGATACAAACATACAAATCTGCCAAAGAGACTAAATTTTCTGAGTTTAAGTGTAGCAATGCAAAAAACTGAAAAGTAAACAAATATTAAATAGGAAGGGAGATCAGCTTAACACAAGAATAGCTTTTTAAAATATCTGCTTAAAATTTTGTTTGTTGTTGTTAAGTGCTGTTGAGTCAGTTCCATCTCATAGTAACCATATACAGGGTTTCTGAGGAGCAGCTAGTTCAAAATCAACATTATGGTCAAGTGCTTATCCTATAGTGGCCATGCTATGAGTACTAGTTATCTCTTTAAAATGACAGTGTGCTATAGTGGTACACAGGTTTAAGAAGCCTGAGGCCTAACCATTCTTTTTAATGACTCAAGCAATAAAATGAAAACAAGGCAAAGTTAGATGATCTTAGAGCTATGTATAATGAGGGTAACATCTGTCTGGCCTTTACCTGGGAAGTATAGTTTTGATAATAATGTTGAAGGTATTATGTCACCGAATTTGCTATTTTCCTTAGATATATTTTAAATTAATTTTTGTTTTGAAGATATTATTTCACCTAATTTGCTATTCTACTTAGATCCATTTAAAATTTATTTTTGTCTATAAAAGTAATGTATAGTCATTAGATAAAAGATGACCACTATAAGGCTCAGGGACCTGTACTAATTCTCACTATGGTGGTGGCTATGTGCCGTGGAGTCAGTTCCGACTCACAGTGACCCTGTACATGGTTTCCGAGGCTGTAAATTTTTACGGGAGCAGAACACCTCATCTTTCTCCTGCGGAACAGCTGGTAGTCCCGAACTGCTGACCTTGCGATTCAAAGCCCAATTCATAACCACTATGCTACCAGAGCTCCTTAAGCCTCACTATAAATATTGTTAATTAGAGACGAACCCAAATCTACAAACTGAAAATCAGTGGTGTTTTATTTTCCCCAGTAAACCAGTGGTGGTGGTTGTTGTTGAGTGCCGTTGAGTCGGTTCCAACCCATGGCAACCCTGTATAGGGGAACCTTTTTTTCTGCCCAAATCTGTAACATCATTCGTGGGCCATATGCAAATACCAACTTAAAAATTAGCCTGTTACATTTGGTCAGACATTTAATTAACTCACCTGTAATGTGATGGCTGAAACTCTGGTTGCCTTGGCAGGGCCAGACCAAATGATTTCAATGGCCTTATATGACCCGTGGGCTGGATGTTCCCCACCCCTGCATTAAACCATTGACACTTAAGCAATCTAAAAGTTCAAGGAAAGAACACAGGTTGTGGCATGATTTGGTTGCGTACACCTGTGAAGCTTGAAATCTAGCTAGGTTATTTAGCTAATAATTGGATAGGTTAAAACTTGGTTTTTACTTGGTCACCTACCTTCCTTTCATCTAAGGAATCACATACTTTTAAGCTGCTCTGAACCTCTGTACAAGTTGTTTCTTTTGTCTACTGTGCCCCTCCTTTTCTTTCCTCCCCAGTGAACTCTTTTTTCATCCTTTATGAATCAGACCAAAGGTTTCCTCTTCGCTAGGTGCCTGGGCACTTTGTGTATAGCACATAGCACGTGGCCTCTAGACTGTGTCATGCCCTGTAGTACTGGAGCCTGTCATGTTCATTTTCAGACACCAGATGTCAACAACAGTCTGGCACATTTTGTTGTTGTATAAATGCAGTATGTATACACAAACACACATATAAAATAGATGAACATATTTAATATAAATGCTCAAAAAAGTTCATGAACTTCTCTTTATGTGTAATATCTCAACTATTAATTGATTAGAATATAATTTAATTTTAGATTAAAATTCTACAGTTAAATTAGCTAAGAGTTCTTAATAGGGGTCCCTTCATAAAGGCAGCCTCAGTTGTCTGGGAAAGGAGAGATCAGCAAGACAGGGCTGAGTTAAGCAGCTTTTACAGACCCACGTACCTTACACCACGACAAGGAAGACATTTTACAGAAGCCGCTCATAGGGTGCAGGCAGAGGACCCTTCAGCACACTTATATTTGACTTCTTAAAGTGCACCATCTAAAACAGAGATCCCTGGGAAGGAGAAACTTTCTATTGTAAAGCATCTACATGGGCTTGTGTACTCTCTGGATACGAGCCTCACCAAATGGCCCATCTCTCCTCTTTTACATCCAAGCTATAAAATATAAGATGCCAGGCTCCATTCCCCCCAGACATTTGATTCAGTATCAGGAGTTTTCAAAGCTTCAGGTGGCTGCTGTTGTTGTTAATAATGCTGTCAAGTCAGTTTCTACCCATGGCGACCCTGTATAGGGTTTCCAAGGAGCAGCTAGTGAGCTTGAACCACTGACTAATGATGGCTAAATTTGTGAGCCTACTTAGTAAGTCTCAGCCTACTGTCACGTGAGGGCCTTTGTCATTTCCAAGTTCATGATTTTATTTTTGAGAGAGTTTAAAAATCTAGAAAGACAGTTCTGTTTTAAGCTGTTGCTGTTGTTAAGTGCCTTCGAGTCGCTTCCGACCCATAGCGACTCTGTATAGGGTTTCCGAGGGTGTAAATCCTTACGGGAGTAGAAAGCCTCATCTTTCTCCCGCGGAGCGGCTGGTAGTTTCGAACCACTGACCTTAAGGTTCGCAGCCCAATTCGTAACCACTACACTAAACTAAGATGTCTACAGGTGCCAGGAAAGCTAATCAGTTGCTCTAGTTGCTTGTTACCATGCAGGAATGTGGGCCCAAAACTTCTGGCTCATCTAATTTTTCTAGAAAAGCTAGAAATGGATTTTTTAAAATATGAAACCTTCCTAGTTGAAACTTTTTGGTTAAATACTCACATTTTAAGCCAAATAAAACAAGACTTTGGACCAGATTTGGCTTGGCCCACCAATGCGTAATCTGTTTTAAATGTTGCAGTCTTTGCAGGACTAGAAGTCTACTTAACACATGGCAACACGTTAAAGTTGGCATTTTTCACCTTATTACACTTAGTACCCAGGGAGACTTTTACTTAACCAAGTTTTTGTCTTTGATATTTAGATGATTCTATTACTTGGTAGCATCAATGAGCTCAAGCGTGGCAACGATAGTGAGCTTGGCCCAGGATCAGGCAGTGTTTCATTCTGTTGTGCATAAGGTCTCTATGAGTCGGCACCTACTCGATGGCACCTAACAACAATTGGTGACCTCCAGCTTTGATCTTTACACACTAATCACTCATTTAGTGAGTGGGTGGGTATGTTTTTGTCTCCATTTTGTTGACCTATTGCATTAGGACAATGGAACCTTGCTGTCATGTGGGGATACCACTCAAAGCTAGATTTTGATCCATATACTGCCAAGTTCCAGAAGGTTCCCTGGTGACCAGAGCAGTATCCTCCAGCACTGGCATCACTCTGCCAGGATTTGGAATGTGATTCACCAGTGGCAAGTTCACAGCAGGTGTGGAAAGGTTCCATTTCCTAGGGAGTAACAAAATTGCTAGAAGGCTATTTTTCATCTTTGTCTATGAATTGAAGTTCTAAATTATTCATAAGTGAGATGCCTGTAAGTGAAATTAGAATAATTTACATTCACACTTGTATTGGCCTAAAAGAAATCATTTAACAAAAGAAGATAAAAGACATCACTGATCTTGAGTGATGGTAATGAAGCTATGTTAGGATATTATAGTTAAAATATCTAATTTTGAGTAAATAATTGTTAATTTATTTGTGTGTATTATTTTTAGATCATGATGCTGGAGATGGAGTCCTGAACCCAGAAGAAACGGGCATGCTTTTAGAAGAATTAAAATGGGCATCTGGAACTGAAAATATGAAATTAAGTAGAAGAGAAAGAGAAATAGACAGTTCAACAAACAGTGTAAGGATTCAACCAAATCCTCAGCAGCTTTGGGAAGAGGGTTCAGAATTACCTCTAACGCATAGCTCTCTAGTACCCACTAGGGGGCATTTGTTAAGCAATGAAGATAAAACAGAAATGGATGAAAATCTGTTTACAAAATCTCACAATCGACTATCACCCCAAATTCAGCCAGTGGGAAATGTGGGACAGCTTCATGGAGTAACACCTGTAAAACTGTGTCGCAAAGAGTTACGACAAATTTCTGCCTTGGAACTCTCCTTACGACGTTCCACTTTTGGAGTTGGGGTTGGATCAATGACTGCTGATTCCCTCGAAATATCTAGGAAACCAAATGACTTAAAAACTTAGCCACTTAATAATAATAGAACTTTTAACTTTGTCGATACGTAAAAAAATGACTTTCTAATCTGTTAAAAATTAAAGGTTAAGTTCACTAGTTCTTCCCTCAGGATAAAGAAGGATGGGGAGGAAAGAACTCCCTTATCCTTTGCAAACTATAGATATGTTCATCTTCCATGGTGTATTTGGGAAGTTTTAATTTATATTTCCATAATAACTAAATGAGCACATGTAATTGATAACATTCCTAGCAATTAATAACATTTAAATAGTTTCAATTATCAGTTTGCTTAAAATTGTTTTCCAGGTGTATTTGAAGAACAAAACTGCTAAGAATAGAATAATCCATCAAATATATAGTGTTATACGAAAGCATATTTTTATATTGTAGCATGTTATAATACAATAATCATATTATTGCTACTCTGTGGTGCAATGGATCGCTTTTATATGGCCCTTCTAGCTAGGGTCTTGTAACTCCCATCAGATGATTGAGTTGTTGTTAGGTGCCAATGAATCGGTATGACTGTTTGTGACCTTATACACAACAGAACGAAAACTGCCGGGTCCTACACCAACTTCACAATTGTTGCTAAACTTGAGCCCATAGCTGCTGCGACTGTGCCAATCCATCTCGTTGGGAGTCTTACTCTTTTTCACTAACTCCACTTTACCACTTTACCTTCTCCAGGGACTGGTTCCTCCTGACAATATGTCTGACGTGTGAGAGATGAAGTCTGGCTATCTTGGCTTCCAAGGAGTACTCTGGTTGTAACTTCCAACACAGATTTGTTTGCTGTTTTTGGTGGTCCTTGGTACTTTTAATATTCTCCTCCAATACCATAACTCATATGCATCAATTCTTCTATGGTCTTCTTTATTCATAGCCCAACTTTCACATGCATATGAAGTTATTGAAAATACCATGCTTTGGCCAAGTGCACCTTAGTCCTCAAACTGACATCTTTGCTGTTGAACACGTTAAACAGGTCTTGTGTAACAAATTTGCCTAATGCAATATATGTCATTTGATTTTTTGACTGCTACTTCCATGAGTATTGATGGTTGATTGAGCAAAATGAAATCTTTGACAACTTCAATATTTTCTCCACTTCCATGGATGTTGTTTATTGGTCCAGTGATGAGGATTTTTATTTTCTTTCATTGAGGTGCAACCCATACTGAAGGTTGTGGTCTTGTGGCCCACCAAGGGAACTGAGTTTGTTAAAAATGCAAATAAGGTACATGGTACCTTTGTGGAAGTGGGACCATGCAAATTAGTTGTATGGAAACCTAATGAGAAGAATGGTGAGTTTTGCCATGCCAGTATGCAGGAAGTGGGGACACCTCACTACCATCAAGAAAGAAGAGCTAAGGGTGGAGCATGTCCTTTGGCCCAGGGATTTTTACGCTGAGAACCTCCTAGATCCAGAAGACAGAGAGAGAGCTATAACAGCAGCAGCGGCAAAAAAGCAGTAGCATAGAAACAGTGATAGCACAGGTAGCAGAACCAGGAGCTAGAGCAGTGGGTCTCCTGGCCCATGGAGCATAGAAGCTGAGTGTCTTCTGGCAGAAGGCTTGTTGGTGGAGACGGTGCCTCTGGGCACTTACTGGTAAATCTAAAGAGCTTTGTAACATTTGCCTGAGCATGGCAGAAGCTGAGCAGGCCCAAAGACCCAAGTTGCCAAGGACTGAGAGGTTAACGGGCTAAGGAGAAGCCTGTGTGGGCATGATTGATAAAGTGGCCTGACCAAAGAAGCGTATTCTTGAATTGTAACCTGTTACTTTCCTAATAAACCCTGTAATTGTGAGTATGATCTGTGAATTCCATGTGGCCATTGCAATGAGTTATGGTACCCCACAGAGAAGACGAGAGTGCTGTGTAAGGGGCAGTTGATACTAGAATTGGTAAAAAGGTTAGAGAGAAAGGAGACCTGTCTGACCTCTGCTTCACAGGAATCAGCCTTGGGCTGATGCTGATGGTGATTCTGTTTCCCCTTTGTGAAAAATGACCCTGCCACACCAGTTGCTAGTTATGTTGTTGATAAGTTCTGTTGAGTTGGTTTTCATTCATACTGACCCAGAATAGGGTTTCCGGGGAGTGGCTGGTGAGTTTGAACTGCCGACCTTGTGGTTCAAACCAACCTTGGAGTCCAGTGCTTATCTTACAGTGCCACACCAGGACTTCACACCATTTTTTTACGTATTTTTGTTATTTTAAAAAAGGATTTAGTTAAATATTGCTTGTGTCAGAGGGAAAGTCACAGGATGCCTGCATTTTGGCCCAGCTGAGTATCTGTGCCAAAAACAATCTGTGGTCTAAGGCAACTTTCTAGGTTTATAGATTGAAGTTACTTTAAGTTCCTCTGAGCCCACAGACAATGTGATGTGTGGCCCATCTTAACTTTTTTAATCCTGCCTGGTATCTGCCTTTTTTCTAGAATTGTTTTTTTGTTAATAATGTTAAGTACTGTTTGTTTGCTAATATTGTGGAATATAAGTTTTCATCACTCCTGCCATATCTATTCAACATATCTGTTCTAAAATATAGATAAATGGATGCAACTCAGCAGGACAGGGAAATAATTCTAAAATAACACTAAAGCAGTCTTAACAATTCAAGGAAAGAACACTGGTTGTAACATGATTTGGTTATGTACAACTGTGGAGCTTAAAATCTAACTAGAGGATTGTTGTTGTTATGTGCCGTGGAGTCAGTTCCGACTCATAGCGACCCTGTACAGGGTTTCTGAAGCTGTAAATCTTTACGGGAGCAGAAAGCCTCATCTTTCTCCCATGGAACAGCTGGTAGTTTTGAACTGCTGACCTGGCGGTTTGCAGACTGATTCGTAACCACTACCACGCTACCAGAGCTCCTTAACTAGAGGACATTTAGGTAATAATTGAATAGGTTAAAAGTTGAGACTGCTTAGTCACTGTGGCCATTTGCAAACAGGCAAGTCAGATTACTTTGGGGTTATAAATACATAATGGTTATTTTTCTAAAATTTAACTTGAAAAAATTTTTTGGGTCTAAATCTTACATTAGTTTGAAATTTAGAACTAACATTGATTTGTTCACTAAATACAGTTTGTGCTTTTTTAAAAATATTTTTCAATCACCAGTAATAATACCCTATTACAATGGCCTTCAAAACAGAGGTATTATTTGGTTATTTTTACAAAGTTTCACTTGTAAACTTGTAAAGAAAGTTCTTGATCTAGTAATGTTTGGGTGGGGGAGTAGCAAAACCACCCTGACCAAAGGATGCCTACTCAATCAGAGTACCTACTTCCTTCCTGAATACTTACTTTTTATCTAATGCTACTGCTATTGATCCTGACCATCTCTCCTAGGAACTAAGACAACTATCACCTTGTGCTCAGACTTAAGGTTTCCTTTTTATAGTTTCTAGCCCTTGGAGAAGGAGATCCAGTAGTGTAGTGGATTATGCATTGGACTGCTAACTGAAAGGTCAGTGGTTTGAATCTACCAGCTACTCCTCGGGAGAAGATAAGGCTTTCTGCTCCTGTAAAGAGAGTTGAAACCAACTCAACCGCACACCACCACTACCACCAGCCCTTGGAGAGTAGGACTCCCTCAACTCACTTCTAGAACCCAGTTTCTGGAAAACAAAATAAATAAACTTCTGGACTGGGGGATTGTTTTTCTGTCTACTAATTGCGTTACTAAAATTCATTTAAATTATGGTTTAAATGGATTTAAATTATGGATTTACCTGAGAACGAACCACAATTTGTAACACTTATTAGTAAGAAAATGTTTCTTAAGTTCCAAATAACTAATTTGAAAATTCACTTGGGTTTTATTTTTCATAGGAACTATTTAAGATTCTGATGTTCAGCAATTATTAATAAATATGCATTTATTAATGAAGGTCCTAATTGTAAATAACTTAAGATAAATAATATGTATTTATTAGAAAATACTCATATAGAATTTTTCAGACACTGGATTTCTGTTTGCCCAGGAAATTAATAATTGTTTTACTTTTTACTAAGAGGTTGAACATGTTTTCTAAAAGCCAATTAACTAACAAAACAAATTTTTAATCAAATCAGTAATTACTACATTTGATCATTCAAATGCTAACTGGGTTTTAAATGACAAAGGTATTACTTTTTCTTTCTTTAAGTGGTGGTTGGTGGTGGTTGTTGTGTGCCCTCTAGTCAGTTCTGACTCATTGTGACCCTGTATAGGGTTTCCAAGGCTACCAATTTCTATGTAGCAAAAAGCCTCATCTTTTTTCCCCCACAGAGCATCTGGTGGATTTGAACCACCAACCCTGCAGTATATAGCCCAACACTTAACCCACTACACCACCAGGGGTTCTCCTTTTGGTTAAACATCTATACATGTATTATATACAATGACACATTTCCTACACACATAGAAATAAACACATACATATAAGCAATGTGCTGAATAAAATTTTCAGAGTAAGCCTATGGGCTTGTCTATTTTCTCTTCATCTATAATAGACCATTTGAAATGAGAATTACTTGCTTCTGAAAAGTACTAGTTCCCTTCCTACCTCCAGAGAGTTCTAGATAACAGAGTGCTCGACAGCCATAGGTGATAAGAACATTAATGAAGGTACTTTTGTGCTTTAATGTTTGTTTCCTTTTGTTCATGAATCTTTTAGGGTTCCTTCAGTTCTTTGTATCTTCATGAACTCAGGGTCCAAGAAATCAGGAAACATACATATGCTCTTAAAGAATATAGATTTCAATGCCACTCGGCCCTGCCTTGCTTACAATGTTATTAAGTGCTGCCAAGTTGGTTCTGACTCATAGAGATGCTGTATAGAGTTTCTGAGAAGTGGCTGGTGGGTTTGAACTGCCAATCTTGTAGTTAGCAGTCCAGTGCTTATCCTACAAGGCCACACCAGGACTCCATTGTTTATATTAGTCCAGGTCAATAAAGCAATGAATATTTAAGAATAGGTTTCATAAGAAGACAAAAAAAAAAAAATCTTAGAATGAAC